CTGATGGGGCAGAGGGCTGGGCCGGGGGCACCCGCGCCTGCAGCCTGCCCAGTGCCCAAGAGAGCCCAGCAGCTGCCCAGGACCTCGGCCAGGCACCAGCCCCGGGCAGTCCCTGATTTGGATGTGACCTTCGAGCCTTGCACCACTGCCCGAGGTTGGGGCCGTGGCTGGGGTCCCCATTGAGTGGGGACCCCCCTAAAATACCCTGCCAGCGGCAATAGGAAGAGGAGGAGGGAGGAGGAATAGCCCCGCTCTGCCCTTCCCCAGCTCCTGCTTGTGCCCAAAGGGCAGCAAAGGCGTTCCCGGGGAGCGGGGTGGGAGCCAGGCCTACCCGGTAACCCTTCTGTCTCTGCCACAGTGAGGCTCCACGACAGCATCTCCGAAGAGGGCCACCACTACTTGATATTTGACCTGTGAGTAATGGTTAAATGCATCTCTCAATCCACCGGCAGCTGCATGCTTCCACCCCTGGCGACGCGCCCTGCACCCCCACAGCCCCGCCTGAGCTTTCCCCTGTCCTCCACCTCACCCCAGTCCTTCCCGCAGGCTGGGTTTGAACCAAGCTTGGGTCCCCCAAGCTGGGCAGAGGGCAGGTCCCTGCCCTGCAGCCCCCACGCTCCCCCCGTGCAGCGGCATTTTGGGGGGGTTTGCCAGAGCTCAGCGTGCTGTAAATCAGTCCAGCTCCCTTGCGTGCTGCGCTGAGATGGCGGAGCGTGACTCCCCTCATTTTCCCGCAGGGTCACCGGCGGGGAGCTGTTTGAGGACATTGTGGCCAGGGAGTACTACAGTGAAGCGGATGCCAGGTGAGCACGGACACAGGCTGGGCCATGGAGGGGGCAGCAGTTGTCCCCTTCTCCTGCAAGCCGCTCCCTCCCAGGTCCAACGTGTCTGCCTTTCTGCAGCATAAGCTCCTTCCGTGCTGGGAGGTGTTTTACAGCCGCTCCTCAGCGCATACTCATAAACCTGATGTGTAGTGCAAAACAAAAAAAGAAAAAAGCTCTTTTTAACTCACTCAGCTCCTGTGCCAAGAAGTGCATGTGTAACCACGAGGCTGGTCCCCCGCCTCAAACCAGGCGGCTGCCAGCCATCGCTCGCAGCATCCTCCTTCCCTGAGCTGATGGCATAGCCCACATCTGACCTTTGTGTAAAGGAGGCTCCCTGGGCTGGGGGCATCGGGGCTCCCCAGTCGGGGGACAGCGGGGGTCCCCAGGTGGGGGACAGCAGGGGTCCCCGGGCTGGCAGGGAGGAAGCCCAGCATCAGGCTGGTGCTCCAGCCAGGAGCACGATAGCACAGACACCCGCAGTGCTCACCCTTTCCCCTTGCAGCTGCATCACAGTCATTTGCAAGCATTTCTCTGGCATTTACCACTTGAAAGCACTAAGGAGGAGCAGTCAGGACAGGCTGGGTGGGAGGATGTGCTGGAGCTCCGCTCCCTCCCACGCTCCTGCTGGCTCTTTCCAGGTACCCTGCTGCAGAGGCAGGGGGCTGGCTATCATTTCAGCCACCCCTTTGGTCCTTGCAGCTCGGACAGAGGACAGCATTAGCCTCATTTGAGGGGACATGATTTGGCCCTCTCCAGTCTCCAGATATCACTGGGCCTCTTGGCTTTGCCCCCAGGATAAGCATAGCCTGTACAAATGCCCAAGGGGGTGGTAAGATCTACACTACCTCTGTCTGGAATATCCCTTATGGGATATGGAAATATCCCTTATTTCTAGGCAGAAAGCAATCTCATTTAATGGGCTGCCCACACTGAATCCACTTACAACCCATCCACTTATTAGTGTCATACAAATAAAGTAAAATACATGTAAATAAAGACCTTCTGCCTTGCACACAGCTGTTTTGGAGCGGAAGTGGTCATTGCCTCAGTCTTCTTCCCTTCCTTTCTCATGCATGCAGCAGAGCTAGATATAAATGTGAACTAGATACAAAGTGAACAGCGACAGCCATCCCATTAGAGGAGGCCAGGGAAATGGGGCCGAAGCGAAGGTTAGCTCTACGTCTGAGGAGCACATCTGCTCTGCCTGGGTTTGGAGACCAAATCTGGACTGTCATTGTGACTCCACCGCTGGTCCCCAGCTCCCCGGTGTTGCTTCTCTGGGGACCCCATGGGCTCCACCGTAGCCCCCATGCTCCTGCTCGCTGCAGTTGGTTGTCCAGCAGCTCTGGTGGGGTCTTACAGGATTACAGCTGCTCTCCATGGGTGTGTGGCTTTCGGTGGAGGGGGACGCTGAATTGTGCCACAGGGCTGCTGGTGGAAAGCACAATGAGGAGAGAGGCAGGAGGGATGAAATGCAGCCAAGTAGAAGTGTCTAAGTAAACTCTGCCTCGCTGGACACTTCTATGATCTTTCTCCTCTCTCCCACAGCCACTGCATCCAGCAGATCCTGGAGGCCGTCCTGCACTGCCATCAGATGGGGGTGGTCCACCGGGATCTGAAGGTAGGAGCTGCAGGGGAAGGGCCTGTAGGAGGACGTATGGATCCCATCTGCGATGCAAAACCCTGTGGAGCAATGCCCAGGGTCCTCCAGGGCAGCTGAAACACAGCAGGGAGGAACACCATGCAGGGCTTCTGGAAAGACACAAAGCAAAGACCAGCTCTGGGGTGAAACAGCACGAGGGAGAGGGGATAGGGAGGTCCTTGTAGTCCATGGTCCTCTAAAGATCCATGGACATCGTGACACACAGCAGGACAAACCTGTCAGGTAGCACATCCAGAGCCCTGACCTTCCTCCGTGCTGTGCTGGGAAGCCCCCCTGTGACAGCAGAGCCCCCGGGGGGTTTCGCTCCTCTCCAACCCCTGTTTCCTCCTACAGCCTGAGAACCTGCTGCTGGCATCCAAGCTGAAGGGTGCTGCCGTCAAGCTGGCTGACTTCGGCCTTGCCATCGAGGTGGAGGGGGACCAGCAAGCGTGGTTTGGTGAGTAGGACTGGCCAGAGATGGAGCATCCTCCAGCCTCATCCAAGTGCTGGAGGTGCACACCAGAGCACCTCAGCCTTCTGCACCATCCTGGGGTTTGGCTGCTGTCGCTGGCTGTTGCTGTTTCCTCTGCTCTCGGGAGACACAGAGGTTTCTGGAGGGAGGGTGCCTGTCCTGCCAGCTCAGCATGTGCCAGGGCTCTTGGCTCTCATGGTGGCTGGCCAGGCATCAGGCAAGCTGTGTGGGGATGGGGACTGCCTGTTGGCGGTGCGTGACGGGCTGTCTGTCCCAGGTTTTGCTGGCACCCCGGGATACCTCTCCCCTGAGGTGCTCCGGAAGGACCCCTACGGCAAGGCTGTGGACCTGTGGGCTTGTGGTAAGTTAAACCGGGGCTGAAATGCTGGAAGCGGGCTGGGCTGGGCCACGTGGGACAAGGCAGGCTATTGATCCAGCATATCGCAAGTCGCAGTCGCTAGACACGTCTCCGGGAGCTCAGGGTGGAGGATTTACCCAAGAGGTGGCACATTACCCTGGGCTGTCCCCAGAGCAGCACCCTCTTTCCCAGTCCAGTGGCACCCTTCTCTGAAGGATCAGCCTCCTTGCTATGCACCCAAAGTCCCCAGGCAGGGGAGATGCTGGCTGTTTTGCCCTGCGGTGCCCTTGGAGTCAGGCAATGCCTCCACGCAGGTGCAGCCGGAGGGGAGCCTTCTTCCACCCATGATGGGGAGGAGGCATTGCCCAGCCCTGATGGGGCACCTGGCTTGAGGCTGTGCATGGTGGCTGCCAGAGCCATCTATCTCCCCAGCCACTGAGCACGTCAGCATGGAGCTGGACCCACCAACGAGCCTTTTGCTTTTTAATCAGGGAGCAAATCCTCCTGTTTCCCTAATTTCTCAATTTCTCTGCTTGAGTTGGGCCAGTCCCCAGGCTGTGTCTGTTCATACCTCCAGCAATGAACTCTCTCCCACTGATCCCATGTCTCCTCTCCCGGGCAGGTGTCATCCTCTACATCCTGCTGGTTGGGTACCCACCCTTTTGGGATGAAGACCAGCACCGACTCTACCAGCAGATCAAGGCTGGGGCTTATGATGTGAGTGTCTTGCTCCCCGCTTTCACTGTGTCCCTTCTCTCCTGCTGTCCCCGTGTTGCAGTCTGCTGCTCCAGAAGAGCAGCCAGGACAAATTCAGACAGACAGGAGCAAGTTTCTTTCCTCTGCTTTGGTCACAGAGGCTTGGCCAAGCTGCCATGCCCAGGTGCACACACTGGCACGTTTCAGATACACTTTGCAGAACAGATAGGTCTTGTCCTGGGCTTTCCACCTTTCTCCCTCCACCCCTACTCTCCAGTTTTCCAGCTGGCAGCTCATTCCAGTTGCTACTGTCTCTCCAACCTGTCCCATGGGCAGGAGGAAAGGGTTGCAGGAGAACCAACCCAAGTGCAAAAGGGCTTCTGCTCCTTCTATCGCTCCCTGCCACCTCTCACCCCGGTCTCTTTGCTTTGGCAGTTCCCCTCCCCTGAGTGGGACACGGTCACTCCTGAAGCAAAAGATCTCATCAACAAGATGTTGACCATAAACCCGTCGAAGCGCATCACGGCAGCGGAGGCTCTGAAGCACCCCTGGATATCGGTGGGTTTGGTGGCACTCACCAGTTGGGGTCGAAGGTCTAGAGATGTGGCGGTTCACAGGGGGGGAACATCTCACTGGGGACCACGTGTTATCAAACATGTTGTCTGACTCTTTTCTCCATCCTGGGAAGATGGTTTCCTGGCATGGTTCCTCCCAGTGCTCTCAGAACAGCCTTTTCTCCAAGGCTTTAGAGCAGAGAAAAGCCTGGAGTGGGAATACAAACAGCATGTCCCAGGGGAGCTGGTGATGGGAGGGACACACACGTTCCTAGCCCTGGTGGGGACAGGCTGGTTTCTTGGTGTCATGCTGCGCTGGGGGAGCCTTTCCTCGGGGAGGGTGAGAGCAGGCTCGTGTTTATCCACCCATCCACCCCAGCAGCAATCCCC